GTTCTTTACAGCCTCTTTTGGTGAAATGTACATGTAAGGTGAGAGCGGCTTGTCCACAAAAGCTCCAAAGCCCATGCGCAGGTTGCTGGTGGTGCGGTTCATGGCCTCCGCCAGGCCTTTGCCGAGCGTCCTCAGGCGGGTGAGATCATCATTCATGGAGTAGGAGAGATCCATTAAGTAGTAGAGATCTACGGGGTAGTCCTCCACCTGCCGCACCTTCACTGTGAAACGTTTAGCATCATCTAGAAAATGAGATGAAGAAATAGTTAAACACTGCTTCCTGATTTTACTGTTCTTCTCGTTCCCTCAGAGAGAACAGTTTCACTCATTTCCTGTGAAACTGTGTAAAAGACCTTATATCCTTATATGTAGGTGCTCACCCGGCCTGAGGGTGATGTGTATTTTCTGAGGCTTTATCTGGGTGACAACTTGCGTCGTTCCCGCTGCCTTGTTGCTGAGGGGCCGGTCCTCGATCACCTGCAGTTTGCTGGTTGGAAACTCCAGAGCTGATGTGGTACAGCCCGCTGCCAGCAGATTACTTTTCAAATCACAGCGGGACAGGCCAGCAACTCCTTGGCCAAAGTCCTGAAAAAAGATGTAGGACATTTTAAAGAGAAAAGCAGACTCGTTGATCTGAATGTAGATTAATTTCCAGTTGTAATTAAATTCAAGAAAGGAGGGCATATCTGACTGATTTAAAGAGTAAAGTGGAACGGGGAGGACCAGGAGTCTAAAACGGCCTAATCTTATGTTTCCTTTTAGTACTTCAATAAACTTTGCACCCGAAAGAAGTTCAACCAGTTCCTCTCTTGTAGAGGCTGAAGTCATCCTGAAAAAGTATGTTGACTCCCATACTTAATTTCACTATATTAAATCACTGCACTCATTGGTTTGAACCAGAAAATATGACTGTATCCTCGTACACTAACAAGATGTCAGTCACTGAGTTCTGAGTCCCTGGACTCACATAAGCATCCTACTCAGAGTCAGTGAAGCAGTTAAAACCCTTCATTTTCTGTCCTTCTAACTTTGAAAGAGACATGTTGTCTTGTTCACAAATCCAAACCCAAATATTTTAAAATGTGCATGGAGTCAAAGACTAGAAGTGGCTTCACCACAGAGACCACTGAGAGTGTTCTTCCAAACCAGATTATAGCTGGCTGATGAAGAGATCTGTACCACCGTGTACCAGTCTGGTTGGCAGAAAGCTAAGCTTGTAAATGAAGTGAAGTGGGGGGAAAAAAGGGACCCAACCTCTTTGGAGCACCACGCACAGCTGGGGTGCACATCCAGACACTCCTTGCATGTGCTGGCTCCTCTGGAGGTGCAGACATTTGAACCTGGAACCAGGAGAAGAAGCACTAGATTGATTTAACTGATACTGATTGGTTCCTTTCACTAAGAGGAACATTTGGGATCATCTGCTTTACGTGGGTGTGAATTCTCTTGTTTTTCTGAGAGATTTCAACTTTTTGGCTTCAGAACAGAATTTTAGGTCATTTCTCGTCAAGGAAGATGAAGCTCAGAGAAAACATTCTTAAACTAGCAATGCATTACCAAATAAAAAAAAACAGTCTCAGACATGTTCATGTGTTATGCAGTGATAAAACAAAGCATTGACTGCAGCCACAAGGTGAATTGTGGTTTAAGATAAGTAAATTATCAGCTGCATGTGGCAAACACTTTGTGTTCACTAAAGCTAGCACAAGCATCTGTGTTGTCTTGAATATAAGACTATATTTCACTGAAATAGGCTTCAACTACTGCACCAACATATGAAGAAAACAATTTTAAAGATCAACTCAAAAAATGTAAACTAAACATCTGCATTCCCAAATGCTAGGAAACAGTGACCAAGATGGTTTATGAAGATCTGTTCTGTTTTGCGAGCATGCTCGTGAGACTGCATGTATGTACCCACTCTGTGTTACACGTTATGTTCAATCCAGTCGTTTGTGCCACTTAAAATACCTTAATAGAACTGTTATGTTATAGATGTTGTATTTTCTGCTGCCCTCTTGGTCAGGTCTCTCTTGAAAAATGAGGCTTTTATCCGGATAAATAAAGAATTTGCCAAAAACTGATTGCAGCTTCTACCTTTCTGGCTCAAATAACTTGATATCATTCACAAAAGTTTGATGGATTACAGCAGTTTAAATGCCAGTAATCATTTCTGGCAAATACCGGCAATCACTTTTTGGCAGATGATCACTTTTTAAAGTCTTAGCAGAGTTCCTTAAAGGAAGGAAGAGACAGAAAACAGTTAAACTCACCACAAACTGCTGCTATTCCCGCAAAGAACAAAACCCACACGCACAACATCCTCTGCGTCTGGAGAGCGCTCATCGTGCTGAGGGCTCTCTGAGAGGACACAGCTCGCCAGTCAGCTGAGGTGTGTGTTTGAGGAGAAACGAGCAAGAAAAAAAATACAACCCTCTGTAATCTAGGCAACTCCAAATAGAGTCAAATGTCTCAGAGCCACCCCTCTACTCCCCATGCTGAGCTCTCATTATTATACTACTAAATATAGTGGGCGGGGAAAGCGCAGCATCCAAAATTGCGACTTTAGGAAGTTTTCTGTTGGCGAAGGGCAGGTTTCGTCATCTGATATGTCAGATTAATGGAGTACGTTTTAGAAAACTGTGTTAATAAAGTAAGTTTCGTAGGAAAAATCCCAATAAATTAAATATATCTAAAGCCTAAATGTTATTATTTAACGTAAAAAATCGGTTTCTGCTTAAATGAAGCGGGGTTTTTTTGTTTTTTTTAACACAGTGGGAAATATTAAACATAGGTTTTTAATTAGGATTTACCAAGTAATACCCGTGAACGTCAGGTACACCGACTGCACGCTGCCCACTAGTGGACAATAGCTGTAAGGACTGAAAAAACCACAGTGCTCCTTTTTGGCAGGTCTGAACAATTGCGTGCAGGGTGCAGGACTGGAAGAAATGTCCACTGTTTCATAAGTGAGTAATACAAATGTTTCTTTGGCGACTTAAAGGCAACAAAATTAGAAGAATTTAGTTTGTTCTGGAAAAAAAATCATTTAAAACTAATGAAGCAAACTGACTGATGGACACATAGCGAAATTATTTAGTTTCTGCTTCTCCCTTCAAAGTCCCTAAGAAGCACTAACTTTGAATGAACTGAAGAGTTCTCCCTCATGTATGCTCTTAAAGGCTTTTATGAGGAAACACAGATCTTTATGCATATGACAGGTTTGCTGGTATTAATGCGTCAGCCGGCTCCTTCAACTAAGGTATTTTAAACTTAACTGGAGCTTATAATTCTTAGTCTGATGTTGAAATACTGTAATGGTACTCTGTGTAGTACCAGCTATGTCCAGCAGATGTCAGCCTTGCAATATGTATTTTTTTAGAGCCACTGAAAGCATCTGAATGAGTCAATGATGCATCTATGCGCTGTGTCAGACAAATGCAATTTTTCAGCTACAGTGTCAGATTTAGGCTTTTAGCAGTAAGAATGGTTATGAACACTGAACTGAATTTGTTGGGATGCAAAGATCTTTAGGAAAGGAAAAGTGGGACTGTTTGCAAGTTTTGTTAAAATCAGAAAACCCAAATAGTCCTATCTATTCCCAGTTGTTTATAAAATCACTCAAGGTAAAACTTCACGCTTGACTTCGATGACTTTATGGATGTTTTGACTTCTGGACTGAAAAACGGAGTTTTTGTTTTCGTGATGTTATAAAAAGTGGCAATGACAGATGTGTCTGGTTAGGTGAGGGGTGGTTTTTGCTGGATTGTTTGACTCAAATGACAGTTACAGCTGAGCACACTTGGCCTGGCAGGGTGATGTGAACGAGACTGGCGAGCGGGATCAGAGCTTTGAGGCATAACATATGTAAACAGTGGAACTGCAGAAATACAATCACTGGCAGAGACAGTGAGGACTGGTCTCATTCACTTGAGCTTGTTTATTAGAAAGCCACTGCTGCCACATGCGAATGTAAAAGCCTTAAACAGAAAAGCACATTTTGCCTTCATCCACTTTTGTCCACCGTCACTCAGCCACATCTTTTTCTCTCCTGCTTTTCCCTCCATCCTTGTCGGTTTCTTCCTCTCTTTGTCTTTGTTACCTTTTTCCTTCCTTTTCCCGAGCCTCCTGTTGCTCAACTTTCCATGTGCTACTTCTTCTCTTGGCCCCACGTTTGCTTTCCCCTCTCAATTTTTTTAAGCTTCTGCAAGCAGTTGCACAACATTCTGCGAGGAAAAAGCTCCCTTTTTTCTCCAGCAGGCTTGATTGACAGCACCCCTTGCACGCTCTGCAGTAGTCGTAGTGTGTGTGTGTGTGTGTGTGTGTGTGTGTGTGTGTGTGTGTGTGTGTGTGTGTGTGTGTGTGTGTGTGTGTGTTTGTACGGGATGCATGCATCTCAGTATCGTCCTGTGCCTTTTAGAAGTTTAACTGCAGCATTTAGTCTTTTTGCAAGAGCCTGTGTTGGTATGTTTTTCTATGTGTTAGTGCTTTGGGGAAACAGAGCTACAAAAGCCAGTTTAAAGGTTGCAAAAGAGCTTTCACACTCATTCATCTGTGGACTTCAAGCGCATGTGCATGCACGTACACACACACACACATACACTCACACGTGCATGCACGCACACGCAGGGGTTGTGTGTTGACTTAAGAGTTAATGAATGGATGATTGAGGGCTGCAGGGGTTGGGGAAAGCAGTGCCGTGGAAACAACCCCTCTTTCCCAGGAAGGGAGCACAGAACAAGAGTTAGAGACAAAGAAAGGGATGGAAAATGAGTGTCTCAGAGGCAGAATGAAATTCAGAGTGTGTGTGTCGAAAGCTCAGGGGGCTGTGGGGCAAACTACTTAAAGCAGAAGCATTTGAAGCCCCTAATAAAGCAAGTAGCATGTACTTGACAAGCACCCAAAGGGAAAGAGAGAGGGAGAGAAGCAGCTGTTGGAGGAGGAGAGTGAGACAAAGAAGGAGCAGGGGGCTGTCCTTACTTGCTCTTCACTGAGAGGACTGTATGTGGGAGGAGGCAGAGAGAGAGCTGGAGAAAAGAAGGGGCACAAGAAAGAAAAAGAGCAAGCAGGGAGCAAGCAGTATGTGTGGTGTGTGAAGGAGAATACATCTGAAATCCTGTGAGTGGTTTGCATAGTTGCAGGCAGCCTCTTCACCAGCCTCTCCTGCGCTGCACAACCTGGGCTAAGGGACCATGCAGCAACCCTGGACTCTTCCCTGGCTCTGTGCTCTCCTGCTGGGGCTGATGGGGTTCCTGGTGTCGGGCTCAGACTTCCAGCATCACAAATACGAGGACATGGTACGAGCTCTGTTTGCAGTGCAGAGCGAATGCCCCTACATCACGCGCATTTACAGCATCGGGCACAGCGTGGAGGGTCGCCACCTCTATGTCCTGGAGTTCAGCGATAACCCGGGCAACCACGAAGCATGTAAGTAACACCTGATCCGTTGTTTGACAGCCCAGCGACATGCTGTACAATGATTTCATGTTGCATTTTATCCCAAAGTGGATAATTGGCAGAAAACGTGATGGATGGAAGTAGTTTAACAGTTTAATAATTTAATCCCAACTCCTCAACAAAGCTGATAAACGTCTGCAAATGATATTAATCTATGATAGATTTCGAATGCACAACCTGTGCTACTGCCTCCTCATCTGTCTTGTACTTTTTGCCACACACAATGAGAATAGCTGGCAGGAGACTGAGTCTGCAAGAGGCTTCGGTTTTGTCTCAAGCTTTCGATTTTGCCTTTATGAAGCCGAACCACTGTGTGACTTAACAGTGAGGAGGAAAAGGTGAAATGATCCCGAATTGGGTGCTTTGAACATCACTGGCTGTAAACTGAGGAAAACTCAAAAGTGAAAACAAAAAAAAAGGAAAAGAAAGAAGAAAGTGAAAGAATCGAGTCAACATCTGTGATTCATTTTGATTTTTCTTTGCCATCCGACCACTGACAAAATGTAGCAGATGACAAACAGAATCACTTTGAGTCATCAAGGATTTAACCCTGAATACACTCCCACAAAAACCACCGAATCAGCTCTTCAGGTATTTAGTTTGCAGCTAGTGTATGATTATATCCAATGTTTGCATTGGAAATTGGCCAAAATGTCATATCAAGGAAATGCTGTGGAAGATTTTTCCATTCTTGCATTTAAAAAAAAAGCTTGACAACTGAAGGGAATGTTTTTTTGGCTCCAGCCAAGCCTGCTTTTTTTCTGCGTGTTTGCATACTCGGAAGCTTCCTTCAGTAGAATTGAAGGATGTAGGCCTGTTCTGTCGCAAGGTGACCGAGGGTGAAAAACAGGAACTGAACACTTCATGAAGGGGGAGTGACCTGAGGTGTAGTCTGGGTCAAGCCTCCTGCACTCTGTACGAAGTTCATGTGTTTCACATACTGCTGAATGAGTGTGTGTGGGTTTTCTTTCTTTCTTTTAAAACTACATGCTGGAGCCAGCGCTATTTTGTGAACTCATGGCCAGTTGGAACTGTGCTAAAGAAAAAGAGGGGAGTTGCAATGCCCAGCATGCCATTTGCATGCCTGAAACAATTAGTGAAGGGCGCTGATAGATTTGAAAGTATCAATGACGGAAAAAAACACAAGCGCTTATTCTTTGATGTGATGGTTTTAGTGTCAAATTTAGCGCAAATTTGTATCTAGTATTAAGTCATAGGTCTGACCTCTGGCAACCGGGCTTGGGGTTTTTTGCTTCCCTCAGCAGTGATTAATAAAGGGATCCTCAGGGGGAAGAAACCCTGCACAGAGAGCAAGGCTGAGACATTGGTGGCAAATACACATAACTCATCCAGATAATTCAATCAGCACAATTTCCAGAGCTTATGTCTGTAAGAACATCCTTATCAAGAAATTTCTGCGACTGTGGCGTCCTGCATGTGTTTCCTCAGGCCATCTGTTTTAAATGTGGTACTTGACAGCTCTGTGTGGCTTTTTTCGTAACTTCATGCCCCCTCTGCTTCTCCACACCCTCCCCAGTGGAGCCCGAGTTCAAGTACGTGGGCAACATGCATGGCAACGAGGTGCTTGGGCGTGAGCTTCTCATCAAGTTCTCCCAGTTCTTGTGCGAGGAGTACCGAAACAGAAACCAGCGAATCGTGAGGCTGATCCACGACACGCGCATCCACATCCTGCCTTCCATGAACCCCGATGGCTACGAGGTGGCTGCCAGACAGGTAATTTGAGCCTTAGGCTTAGACGTGCCAAAACAAAACTCCCTCTGGGACGTCTCTGGCTGTGTTTTTTCAAAGAAACCGTCCCCCGCGCAAAGAAGGAGAAAAAAAAAATCTATATTTTCTTTTCCCTTGGTTTTGCTCTTGGCAGTGGAAATATTAGAAATGTTGAGGTCCCTGAGTGAAACTAAACACCTGCGAGCCACACAGTTCAATCCATCTGAGCTTTTAGGGTTTTTAAACAAATACATGTGTGTGTGTTTGTGTAAGACGAGCGACTACGAGTCAAACAGTAGTTGATGATTTTTCTCCACCGTTTGCTTGCGTCTGTAATAATCCCATCTATCAGCTTCCCAAGAAAGCCCCTAACTTTGTGTCAGGGGTAATTATGGGCCGTGAAACAACTGATACACACGCAGACTGCTGCAACACAAATACACACACACAGTCTCTTGCTGGCTAATGATATGTCCTGAAGCGACCAGCTTCACATGACAGTCCCTCTCTTTGCCACTCAGACGACACATACATACTGCACTGTAATTAGCTGCGTCAGCAGATGTTTGGGTGCAGCAGCATCTGTTCAAAAACGGCAAGGCAGTTTCATTTTAAAGCATCCTTGGCGACTCAATGTTGTGATCAAGCTTTTAGGGGAAAAAACAACAAGAAGAAGAAATCTTATCAGAAAATGTAAGCTATACACACCAACATACAGGTCAGTCAGCTCTTTTGCAAAGTCTTAGAAAGTCTCACACTGAAATACAGAAGAAAGTCAAACCAATCAAAAAAGAGCTTCTTAAATTGCCCCCTTGCTTTACTTGATATATAAAAACATATAGTGACATTTAAGATTAAAGGTCCAAGCTAAAGTTGCAAACAAATAAGAAAATTTCAAGGCACTCATAAAATAAAACAAGTCTACAGTTAGTGATGCCCCTGTGACGCTGCATTTAAGCAAAACAGACCTTTTAACTAAACTGAAATGTTAGCATCCTAACATGCTTGCAATGACGGTGCTAACTAATTTGATGTTTAGTTGGAGTATTGTTTACCATGCTCACTGTAGTGAAGGGGAAAATCTGTTCCCTTTAAGCCAGCTTTCTTCTGATCGCCTGTCCCTTGCATCCAGAAGGCATAACAGCAGGTAGGAGGGGCTTCTGTGCCCACAGCAGGTGTACCTGCTGTCTATGACATCATTAAGATCCAGCAGTAGAAAAAAAAACTGCCTAAGAGTGAGAACTTGAGCTTTTTGCTTAAAGTGCTTTGACTTTGGGTACTTTTAATCGATTGTGACAGTCTATCTGTCCGGCTGTTAGCACACTCAGTACCATGGATTTGTTGCACGGTCTTAAAACTCCGTTTTGGGAAAAATACTTGACTGTTGTTGCTCTATAGATAGCCTCTGAGGACTGGGGAATAATAAATTCAGCTTTGTTTTACTGCTTCCGAGAAATTTGAGCTCATAACTTGACCTCAGGAAACCTTAACGTCACAAGCCAAAATATGATCATTTAATCATTCTGGTGGGAAAGAGCAAGATTACTCACCAGTTTAAAAAAATATGGTTTTTTTGTGATCTGTGCATCAACAGGGTCCGGAGTTCAACGGTTACCTAGTGGGTCGAGGGAACGCCAGAGAAAGCGATCTAAACCGCGACTTTCCGGACCTGAACGCGCTCATGTACTACTACGAGAAAACCAAAGGACGAAACCACCATCTGCCCCTCCCGGACAACTGGGAGCATCAGGTCAGTTCTGCTGAATACACGGAAATCGTTTGAGGGTGTACGTGTATGTTAAAGTGTCCATGTGTGTACGCAAGTATGTGTGGCTCGGAGCATATGTGGGTGAGAGAGAAGGAGGGAGCGAGGAGGAGGATGGATGAGGGCATTTATCATGCTCGTGTGAGCGTGTGAGCGAAGCTGAATAATGAGCAGCTGTAACATAGTTGGGTTATCTTGGCTTTAACTTTGTTGACATAAACAAATTCATGAGATCTGCACTGGATGAGATTCCAGTGCCAGCTGTGTCTCAGCTAAATAATAAAAAAGTCCATATATTTAAATGTGAGTAGACTCAGGAGACTCCTTGGTAGGTCCTCTGTATCATTTTGTGACTTTTTTCTGCGTGCCTGTATAGCCTAGACCTGTTTGCTTATCTTGCACATAGCAGGCTATAGCTCTTAGCATAGACACTGTGGTTGCCCTCATTCGTATTTGGAGTCTTTGAAATATGAAACAGGTGGGGTAACTGGCAACCTAGCTCCGCAAACTGGAACAAACTGGAACAAAAGCGTTGGTAAGTCATATTAGTTTGCATATTTATTTAGATGCTGGAGCTGAGAAAACACCCCAAGAAGAAGAAGCAACCCCCCGCCAACAGCCTTCTTCTTCTCTGGGTCATAACATGTGATTAACTATATGCACTGTTTATGAGGACTTTGAGCCTCAGCTAAACATTTTTTGGTTTTCATCACCATCATGAGAAGTTACAGTGAGCCACTCTGCCGGCGTCAGAGTGTAACTGTTACCCTGAGGCACTGGCTGACTCCTCACTTTGCTGCTACTTTACCCAAAACTGTCTGCACATTGCTATGTCTGCACTATAAAAGTACAGATGCTCTCTACATAGAATAGACACTATATAAACCTGCCACACTTACACGGTGACTGAGACTAAGGAAGAAAAATGTGCCTCAGAGTTTCGGCGTAAGCAGCAGAGTTCAGATTGGCTGTGGGGGAGACCTGGCTTCATTCTGGGTGATTGAATGGCCTTTGTAGCGCAATGTGTACTTATTTCAGATCACTGAAGTGTAAAATGAACAGTGGAGAGTAACATGAGAGTGCGTGCTGTCAAACAGTCCACTAGCCTGCCAAAAAGTACATTTTAACTATTAAGGTCAGATCCTTGGGGGTGTCTCGACTACAGCCTCCAGTAGGACTGTTGTTCATAGTTTCCTTGAAAAATAAAATTCCTCCCTCTTAAGGACAGTCAGTTTTTATTATAACTGATAGATAGCTTCATGTTTTGAGAACTGAAATATGAACCTAAAGTTGATTATATCTTGAACCGTCCAAATTAAAATACCTTTAGCTAGATTTAGTGATAGACTCTAAAGAAAAGATGGATATAATCCTCGTAGAAGTGTCTTAAACATACATTTAAACCCTTCTTCTTATGGGGCGTCCCAAAAAGAAATCAACTTCACTGACTTACGTGCACGTGCGGAGGAGGGGCGAGGGTATTTCAGCTGTCACAGGGCAAGAGGTGGGTAGAAGCCTACGAGAAAATGACCCTCATTTGGTTTATGACCTCAGTGTTTTCCTTACGCATTTATGGTCTCACTTGCTCGTGTCAAGTCTTATTAAATATAACATGTTCACTTTGTAAATGATTTATTGGGGGGGGGGGAATTAAACAGGGTATGCTTTAGGACAGGGTGTCAAACATAAGGCCCAGGGGCTAGAAATGCCCAGACAAAGACAAGGGTGTAAATTTGAGACTTCTAACTGTATTTTTTAGTTTATTGCACCTTTTCCTATTAATAAAGCCCTTCCCATGGACATTGATGCTAGCTACACTAATACAGTCACAATCAACTATAGACATGTCTGTTGGTCTACATAAAAAAACTAAAATATTTTCTCTGAATTAGTCGTCATAGTCTGTTCTGTATTTACAGGACAGTCTGAGCAATGAGCTACCAAAACCTTTTCTGTAATTTTACACGTTTAATTCTTATAATTTAAAACCAGAGTAGCTCATGGATTTCTTTAATTTAATACAGTTGCATGTTTGTTACAATGTCAGAAAAACTGAGGTGAACTCTTCTTTGTCTTATATTAAGATATCTCATGGATTAAAGGTGTAGTTTACTTCTTCATACTGGCAGAAATGGAAGTTTCACTGGTCCAGTTAAACTCAATGTGAGCTGTATATGGTCTGTGAAATGAAAAATTTGAATGAGTTTGATATCTCTGCTTTAATCCAGTTGCCAAGTGGATTGCAAGCATGCAATGTGCTTGATTTCAGTTTATGAGGAGTAAATATTATCCTTTAGGAAACAAAGAAAGTCATATCAGTGCTTTAAAATGAATGCGTGATTGATTTCTCTTCCCTCAAAATAACTCTTTTCAGTGTTTTAAGCAGTTTTGACAGGGCATGTCATTACAGAGAGGTGGTTTCAGTGTAGTTTTCCTTTTCTTTCCCTATCGCCACACCACTTTTGTTCCCAAGCAAAGGTGGAAAATGTTATTTTTTAACCTCTAACTGCAAAACCAGAGAGCCAGGGAGTCTGTACATATGACTGTCTCCTGATGCAGAAACACAAAAGGGTAACTGTGCTTGTCTTACAACTGCTTTATTTATGCTGGTCAGGAATACATTCTCACATAAAGCCTCAAGCCCTGCAGGCTCGAGAATGCAGCTTTTACTAATTTAGCTAAGTGATGAAACTTTCTTCACTGGAACAAGTGCAAGACTAAACTGAGATGTGCTAAAATAAGACTGAGAACTGGGCGGCAGCACATTTTCCAAGTTTCACTTTCATTTCTCTTAGAAATACCTTATTTACAGAGCCCCAGAAGAGCCCGACATAAAACAAGGCTCCTTTTGCAAAAGTATCCACTGACATTTGACTGGCCTCCAGAGGACATCCCTCACCCAGTGTGAAAACTAACTTCAGACTGTCAGCAATCCTATAAGTGATCCAGAATGTTTGATTTGCTTCTCTTTGCATTTAATATGGGGTAGTATCCTCTGTTGTTAGTAGAGCTCTGCAATATGGCCGTGTCTGTCCTTCGTGTGTAACCCTACACCGCGGTGACAGCCCTTATTTCAAAGGATGCACAAGTGTATATATAAAGATCTACAGATAATAAATTCCTACCGGCGTTCAAAACGGGAGCCAGACCTCTTGGTTACAGCTGCTCTGTTCAAGGTCACTGGGCTCTGATCAGCTTGATTATTCTTGAACAGAGTCAGACTGTGTTTATTGTCCTACATACCATATTCAAGGAGAGGTATTACGCCTCGTCTCCAAACGTGATAAATGGCTCTGAGAGTGTGAGGAGAGTTAACGCTGACAGAGAAAATAAATGGCAGCCCCAAGTGGAATTTCAAGGTCTGCAGCAATGCAATGGAGATGCCATCTGGCTGAGGCTGATCCCGTTCATGCAGAATTTGATGAATTAATTAGCAAAAAGATCAAAAACCTTTAAATCAGTTTGCATATTATGAATTATATGTACACGTAACTGTTGTGTTTCCACTCCTTTGATGCTAAGTCCAGCTTCAGTTTGTGAATTTTGTATATTCTCATTAAATTTATCATTAACTGAAATGGTTGGTATTCTTTAACCATGAAGCTAACCATGCCTGATGCATTTAGGAGGAGCTAGGTGAATCATTAAATGTGCTTGAGCAAAGTAGAAGATTCTTTAAACTCTAACCATTTTTGCAAAATGATTAAGTAAAAAAGAAAGGCAGAGAGAAAATATGTCCATAAGGCAAAGCCAGAGGAAACCGGGGTTTGTCCAGATAAGCAGCCAACCAGAGAAGCCAGCAGCTTTGGATGAAAAGAAAACCAGATGTTAACCCACTGATGTTGTTTGGGAAATATCTCAGGTGACGTAAAGGACTGTATGGGATTCTGCATTATAACTTATTTGATGATTTAGAGACATTTTGACAGGTTCTCAAGTGGGATTAGATTGTTTCATTTGGGGAATTGGAATAAAGATGCATGCACGTGGTCCTGCAAGTACAGTAAATCTTAAATGTCCTGCTTCTCATCCTCCCCAGGTTCAACCAGAGACTTTGGCTGTGATTAAATGGATGCAAAACTACAACTTCATCCTGTCAGCGAATCTTCACGGAGGAGCCGTGGTGGCCAATTACCCCTTCGACAAGTCGAGAGATGGCCGCATTCGAGGGCGGACCACCTATTCGGCCACGCCTGATGACAAGATCTTCAGAAAGGTGCGTGACAGATTTAAAATTTCCAGATGTGACACACATCTCATACCGTCACTGCCTGTTGTGTGGGTATGAAAACACGTGGATGAATGGGCCCCGTGTCCTTTTGTGTGTGATGACAGTTGGCGAGGACCTACTCATACGCTCACGGCTGGATGCACAAGGGCTGGAACTGTGGCGACTACTTTGATGAGGGGATCACCAATGGGGCCAGCTGGTACTCGTTGTCCAAAGGTGAGCAAAACGTCTTCTCCTGAGCAGAAGGGAAGACAACAGAAATGCGTAGTAAAAGCACAAGAGACTCACTTGGAGCAGTCTCTAAATTATTACTGAGGCTGGCTTTCGTAATTGAATTAATCGTAATTCAAACTAAATTATTTACACGCTGTTTACATCTATTTTTGGCCAGTGAGTCTGCATCTGGATTTATATTATGCTGCTTTGGCACCACAAAAGTTAGTGCTGTAGCTCAACACCAACAACACTAACTGTTGTCCTGACCTCTTAGGTTTCCAGAGAAGTACTGGTTGCCAACATTCCAGTATGTACAAACTCATAATATAAACAGCTACTTAGAAAATAAACTATTACACCCCCCAGACATTTTGGAATTTGAAAGCCAAAGAAGATAATAGCTAAATTATCAGTTTCAATAAAAAATGAGCTGAAAAAATGCCCCGCCACACGAGCACACAGTCCTCTATCCTATGTACAAAACACATTGTTCCTTGCCTACATGCAAAATTTCCATGTGCTGTGGAACAAACGCTATAATTCTCCTGCTAAAGAAAGACAAGACCATCTGAGTGATGGCTTCCTGCTGTCATTACCTTCAGAATGAATGAAATGCACTGACTGGCTCGCAAGGCACGCTTCTCCAGTGTCATCATGCACTGGGTCTGCGCTTGCCTTAAACCCCCTTACCTCTTGCACACTGCCAGCTAGCAGTAGAGCGGTGGACAGGGGGTGTAAAAGGCACCCATTCAATACGATCCGCACCATCAGCAGGCAGCGTGCAGCACTCTGAAAAAGTCTTGAGTCACCTCTAATTTCTTTATATTTTGCTTCCAGGAAGCCAGACCTTGAGCAGTAGTTCTCCAAGCTTTCTGAAGGTCTTTCAAAGTTCTTCTTTAGACTTTTTATTTTTAGTGGAGTCTGTGGACCTGAACATTTTCAGTTGACTCCGTTTTTTTATTTTATTTTATTTTTCTAGCAATTATTTATTTCATGGTCCAGGCTTTAAAGGGTTAAAGTCTACAAGGCAACCTTAGTGGTGACAATTCCCTTTTTTTCTTTAAGTAAAGGATCCTTTAAATTTTAACTAAGGTGGAGAGGACCTCGCCTTTTAGTGAGGTTGAAAGGAATCATACGGCTCAGCTGGCCTCCCCACCGCTCTTTTTTTTGGTGTAAAATCCCATAAACTCTCTATAAATGGAACTGAAGCTTGAAGAGAGTTTTGAATTTTGTGAAATTTCTTGTTATAGCTGAAAATATGCATTAATTAAACCTCCTCCTCCATGCTGGCAGAGACCCTCTCAGGAGTCACACAGCCTTAGGCGCTCGCACGAAACTTAAACTCCTCACGCTCTCATGGTTCGCTTAAAGGCTGGAAAACTTGTGTGCTGCTTTTTAATGAAAGCTTACAGTAATGCACTGTTACAGTAATGAATTCTTGGAAGTTAAAAAATACCAAGTTTATCCAACTCTCTGGGCATATATTCAGTTTCAGCTCAGTTAATCTGCAACTGCAACAATAACAATCCCCATTTCTTTGATGCGTAAGTCCTGATCCAGGCTGCTCTGGTTTCTCCTCAGCACTGTGAGTCTGATGAGCTTTTCACTTGAGTCATGCGAGCTTTTGAACTGACTGAAAACGCCCAGAGTCTCACTTAGAAGCAGCATGCTATGTTTATTTTACCAGGTCTTTATGCTCCAAGTGTTATGTCAGGGTCTGTGGGGTTACATATGAACCTTCCCTCCCTTCTGGCTCCTTGTACATTTGTTTTTGATGAAAAGTGGAGCCATATTGTAAAGCCAAAAACAGAAGTTTTTTTTTTAAAGCAACTTATACTCCTACAATTTTGAACAGCTTCCTCAAGAGGCAAAGCGTGGTGGAAAAAACACTTTGAATCTATAAATATAACTAATGTGTCCTGTTGCAAAGACCTAGAAATCTAAAGTGAAGAGCCACATTAATACATTTATTGTCCTCCTAAAATATTTATCTGTGTTTCAGGCATGCAGGACTTCAACTACTTGTACACCAACTGCTTCGAGATCACTCTGGAGCTGAGCTGCGATAAGTTTCCTCCGGCATCAGCACTGCCGAGAGAATGGCTGGGCAACCGGGAAGCGCTGGTTTCATACCTAGAACAGGTTTGTACATGACGAAATTTGGCAAATCAGAGTTATACTGAAAGAGTATTTAATTTATTGGAGCTCAATGCACCACACATACACAGCTACACTATTACACATAAAAACCCAACTGCCAGGAGTCGTGAGTCTGCTGCCCTGGTGTCTTGTGAATATTGGCAGTCGCCTCTGGGATAAAGTGACCAAAAAATTAGATGCGTGAAATTCTGTGTAATATGAGTAATCTGACTTTTAACCTTCTTCGAGGACGGAACAAGGCCGTGGTCTGAGGACAACAACATGTCCTTTATTCCACTGAGATTCAAAAAGCGATGCTTTGCCACTAATAATGTTTCTGTAAGGGTGGGCCCCCAGTTGCATGCATTTTTTGCAAAGCACTAATTAAACAATCTAAACTGGGCCTGCAGATTCTGTTCTGGTCTTTCTTTAGCTGCTGAACACTGCTGAGCCTAAGGAGTGTTAATTAAGTCTGAGGTGTAGAAATGTAGCTTAGGATTCCTTCATATTCACTCGTATTTATTAGCACATACAGTATTTTCTTTAAAAAAACATATTATTTAAAGTATATTCAAGTATAATCTTTCTCTTGTAAACATTAAGCAATAATTTTGAGCAAAATGCAACTGAAATGTATAAATAATTAATCATTTGGGAAAATATGTTTGGTATAAACTGAATGTATACTGAGAAAGTAAATTTAATTTGAACAGATTCCATTAAATCTAAAGTTTTGTAACAAATTGTACATGCAATCAAATCACTTTAAGTCAGTATTTCAGACTTTAGGTTTCAGGGTTTTGAGCGTATGTGCTAATAAACATGAGCAAGTGCTGAAAGCTTTGAAGAAACTTTCTGGATGAAGTCAAATGTCTTCAAAAAACTTAAAGAGGTCCAGTCACCTTCCTTTTTTAAGCTCTTAAGACTACAGACAGCTTTACACATCAAACAGATGATAGGAATCCAATTTCCAAACCTTAGATTTTATTAAATATACTTCAATATTTGAAGTATGTACACGTTTTGTCTTTTCTCAGGTGCATCATGGGATAAAAGGCATGGTGTATGATGAAAACAACAACCCCATCAGCAAAGCAGAGATCTCAGTAGCTGGCATCAATCATGACGTGACCGCAGGTAACAGGGACTTTTGGTGTATATGTGGTTGTTATTTTTTTTCTTGATAGGTGTGGAAGCTGGATTTATAGTGACTGATTGTCTAGTGTCCCAGCCAGTGAAATAGAAGACCAGTGTTTGATAACATCCGGTGTCAGTCTGTCATTTCAAAATGAGACAAGGACACATACTGCATGACTAATGGCAGGCACTAACAATAACTTCTGCATGAATCGAATGCCTCGAGCAGCCAGAAGTCGACTTTGAGTCTCAGTTCCATAAAAATATGATCCTTTGGAAATAAACCAGAATGAAACAAGACGCAACCTCGACAAGACTTTTAGCGATGAACTAAATGTTAGTATGATATCCAGATTTTAAAAGTGCATTCAATCCTCACACGCAAAAGGACAGTCGAGTGCATCTAATGGTGCGGTGTGGAAGTCAAGCACAGCTATAACGGAGCAAGTCATCCTCTACTGGTCAGTGGTGGAAATGCAACGTGAGAGAAATTAAAGTCACCTATCAAGACACTCACCAGCCAATTCAACAGGTGCATCTCGCTAGTACAGGGATAAGCCCCTTTTTTGCCTTTAGAACTACTTTAATTCTTCATGCCACATATTTAACAAAGTACTGCAAACATTCCTCAGAGGATCCATATTGGCATGATGGCATCGCGTAGTTCATAATCAGTTTCCAATTTGGCACCTACAACTTACTTTATTTAGTGTGAATTATTTTTTTATGTTAAAAAACTACCGTCATTGTCGACATATTGGTGGCACTCCAGGAATATGTTTAATTAATTAAGATACAGCGACTGTACGAGTCTCATAATTTTCCTTACATGTGCTCCTTCAGGAGTTGATGGCGACTACTTCAGACTTCTGTTGCCAGGCACTTACACTGTAACAGC